TGGTGGAATTTGCAAAATGTGAAACCATCACTTGCATCACAAGAGTTGTTTTATTTATTTGATTTCAAATGAGATTCTGTATTTTGTGTTTTGAAATGTGTACTGAGTTATTGCCTGATGATGGCACTCAGGATTAGCCAGCACAGACTCTAACAAGGTGCTAACCAAGCATGCTGACAGCAAAGAGGTGGTCTCCAGTGGTTATGATGAGGTGAACTGAATGACTGAGTGGGCAAACTGTGTCTATTTAATGAGAGTGGTGGACATTTTTCCTCCAGAGTCTCTTAAAGGAGTGGATAGAGAGGATAATTTGCACTAACAAGGAGCTATGTTGTGAGTAACCAATGCTTCTTGAAAACATGTCAGGATTTGTTGATTTATTTATCACTTAAAAAATGAAGAAGGGTGACGTGAGGAGCTGCAGTAAGTTCAGAGGGATGAAGGTGGTGAGACACCATGAAGATATGGGAAAGAGTTGTTGAAGCTATGATCAGTGAGCAGCAGTATAGCCTCATGCTGAGAAAGAGCAATATATGTGAGATGCTTGCTTTGGAGAAGTATAAAAAAGGTTAGAAGGTGTAGGTTGTCTGTCATCCAAGTCATGGAGCTCAGAAAGAAAAGCGACTGGATTTCCTTAAGATTTGTGAAGACGTTTCATCCGAGAAGCTTCTTCACTTCTAAAACCAAATGGTGAAGAGTCCCAGGTCTTTAAGCCCTAGTGGGAGTTGTATCTTAAGGTCACTGACCGACTATTGATCGTGTGCCTCATCACATGAGCCAACGTGTGAAAAATACTTTCTAGTTAACATTCACACTCCAATGAGCACATTAGAAAGCCAGTGAAGTTCAGTATATTCCCCAAGCATAATGTGGTATGCAGACTGGAGCAGCCAGGGATCCATGTGACAACATTCCAATATGTGGATGACTCTGCTCTACTTCCTGAGCTATAGTCACCCCACAAACTTACAGGACATAGTATTTCCAGGCAGTCTCCCATCTAAGTACTAACCAGGACCTGCCATGAGATCAGGCATGTTCAGGGTGGTATGGCTGTGAGTTAAGGGTTGGTGTGACAGATGCTAGGGATAGGACAAGATGGCATTAGACGATCTGCTGTAGTGACCCCTAAAGGGAGCAGCTGAAATAAGAAGATCTGACTTACAAAATGACACATTTGTTGCTGACAGACACACTTGTTTGAATAGAGGACACAAATGACACATTTAACAGCTGACCAATGGGAGATTTTGAATAGATCAGTATCCTCATCCAAATTTTCAAAAGTGAAGTACACCCCTAACCGGGTGCCAGCCTATCACAGAGAGACAGACAAGACAACTTAGAATCACCAGTCTTAGGGTTACAGAGAGAATATGCAATCTTCACACAGCCAACTGAGTCAAAAAAAGTCAAACCAGGATATATCTGCTGTGAGGCAACTCTGTTAACCACTGTTCTACCCACTACCCCAACACATCAGCCAACTGCTGCATACAGAGCCAACATGTGAGACTTTCAGGTTAAAACATTAATGATATTGTCCAAAATGTGAAATATCTCTCCGAGATATCTGTTGCTATGTTGCAGTGATAGCTACTGATTTTAGATGCTAAAAAATTGGCACCTACCCATGCTATCATTTAGTAACACTCTGTACCCCAAAATAGCAAGAAAACCCATCAACAGTTCTTTTAGTTAAATATCGGAGGAGAAAAAAGTAGTATTGTCAAGGCAGTCAGGAAAGGAACCCACAAAGAGAAGCTGAAGTTTTTAATATGAGGGTTGCCGAGTTAGTTTGTTTTTAGGTTATATGTAAGTTAGTGCATTGGTTAGCATTGTCGACTCACAGCAAGTTCAGGTTCGATTCCCCTGGCTGGCTCGGGCCTTTCTGTGTTGAGTTTGCATGTTCTTCCTGTGGATGGGTGGGGTCTCACCAGGTACTCTGGCTTCCTTCCACAGTGCAAATACATTTGTTTCAGGTTAATTGGTGGATCTAGAATAATGAAGGATATCAATAGATATTGCTTCCAGTTTATTTAGTAAAGCAGATATGAATGCATAGGTAAATGCGGCTCCTCCCTTGGACATCAGACGACAGTGAAGACTGGAGACCTGGTTGTTTGCAGGAGACTGAGATTGT